TATTTTATTTTTGACTGATTTATGTAAGTAAACCCAGCTTAACAAATGTCCAATATGTACCATCAAGTAGGTCAACTTGGTTTTTGCAGAATTGAATTTTTGGTTGGAGAAGTTGTCTAACTAAACCAAGTTAACATTTGAAGCATAATGTTTAAATTGAATAATTTTATCAATGTTTTCAATTTGGGAGTTGTCCATGTTGATTTTATTATTTGTTGGGAATTTACGTACAAAGGAAATAACTCCATCACTTTTTGACAATAGCCAATTTCAAACCAATAATTTTTAATTTAAATTTCTCAAACTTTTTCAACCCAACAACTGAACTTGAAATATTTTACCATATCTCCCTGACAATTTTAAAAAAGAATCTCTGGAGAGAAGAAAACACATTTTTATATAAAATAAAATTCATCTGCAAGAATTAAACATTTGGTTATTTCCATGTGTAACTTTTTTTTTTTATTTTTTTTTAGAAAAGTTCCTGCCCCTCTGAATATAATTGTTTCTATTCCAATAAAAAATATTAATTAACCAAAGTCACCCCCACATAATGGTATTAATATTTGGAAAATGCATCTCACAAAAATGAGAGTCAATTTTTGTTGCTAAGTTTCACTGGCATCAAGAGACAGAAAAATACACTGGATTAAAATCAGTCACTAAGTCAGCAGTTAAAATAAAACAAGAATCATTTTCATGCAGTAGTTTTTAAGAACATCTTTTTTTTTTTCCAAAAAGGTAAGGCTTTTTAAATGTACAATTTATTCCATTTTTAAATAAATAATTTCTTACTTGAAACCAAATTGATAAACCCATAGTTTATTAAACTAGAAACCAGAAGATATTTTACTTATTTTGAATATACAATGTTTAAGACTAGAGAAAGAAAAAAATCTGGTTTATAATTTATATATTTGTTTTTACTTGTCTAAATTTAAGTTTAGTCTAGAAAGAAATCTATCAAGTCCCTTTTAAAATTAGGATAGAAAAATTGCTCTTTGCTGGTCGTTTATATATGATAACTTTATGGGTTTACAAAATTGAGATAATTCACTTTCAAGAGATAATCTATATAAAAATGAAGTTTTTGTGCCACAATTTCTTTTAAGAAATAAAAAAGGTAGATGATAATTTTGGCCACAATTTCCCATATTTAAACATGTAAATAAAAATTCTGTCTGGCAAGAATTGGTTGATAAAATAATATACTTCACTTTTCATTACAGCAACTTTTAAATGGGTTCTATAATTATGTGCTTCAAAAGCTGGCATACATTTTAATTGGAAGTGAAATTGAAACTTAAACTAAAATATTTCAATTATTATAATCCATTTTTATATCACAACAGATAAAATAATTTAACATTTTTAAAATCTTCATTGAAAACTAAACTGAAATATAATCTGTAGAAAAGTAAAACTTTCACTAGTAATATTTGTAACTTACATTGGATGTTACTCAATTATGCAATCTAGTGTGAAGAAAGCTTCTTTTTAAAAAAAAAAATAAATGTAAATTAAATTTAATTAAAAAAAAAAAGAACAGTAATCTTTGTCTTCAATGCTAAATTGAATGTAGCCTTGTTGCAATAAAGTTGGGTAAATCTTTCTTAATTACATCCTTTATATGATGTGGGGCATGGGGAATATTATATATTAGACAAAAAACAACAAAGATACTAAAACATTTACTTAGTTCAGTTTGCACAGTAAATTTTCAGTACTTATTTTCTATTTTAGAGAAAGGATTTTATTATTAAAAGCTTCAGGATAAAGACATCCATAGTTCAATTTCAGTTGAACTGACGAAATGTCTTCTTTAATTTGCTACAAATAAGTGACACTTGCAACATTACCAGATGAACTGCAATTTTATTTTATATATATATATATATATATATATATATAAATATAATATGTAAATAATAGTGATTATTGGAAAGCACTCAATATCAAATATTCGTGATAGAGCTAACATATTTAGTTGAATGGATATGAGTTTGTGACCCTGGGTTTCACATTTATGCGATCCTCAAACTCATATCCATTCAATATATATATATATATATATAACATACAAACACATTAGTATGATGTAGGATAGCATCTGAAACAAATGTGGAGATAATGGAACAAATTGAAAAATATTTTTTTTAACAATGTATTTTGATGCGTAAGGTTTGGCTTCTTCAGGTTAAAATGAAGAAACAAAATTCTGTATAAGGAAAATGTGTTGGTATTTTTGAGGATAAGAGGGTCAATAAATTAAATTACCTTATCAGATCTGATGACCAGAGATGAGAAAATGATTAAACAAAGACTTTTTGGTCTCTAGTCGTTGGATCTGAGAAGGTAATTTATTGCCCTTCTTATTCTCAAAATTCCCAACCCATTTTCCTTACAAACCATTTTGTCATTCATTCCAACCTGAAGAAGCCAAACGTATCACATGTTGGTGAAATGCATTATTAAAAAAATTTTCCTCTTTGTCCTATATATATATATATATATATATATATATATATATATATATATATATATATATATATTAGTGGAAAATATACATACATATGCAAAATATATATAAAAATTCCCATACATGTATATTTTTCAGAAAAAAAAAAAAAAAATTTTCAAGAGGAAGGATCAAGGTAGAACTCAATGTCTAGGACAGAGTAACTAGGATATAATAAAAAAGGCTTAAACACTAATATTCCATGGTCATAATTTATTCCATTGGAATGTAGTAAAAAAAAGATCAATTCATCAATTTACAAATTCAAAAAAAAAAAAAATTTTGAATTTTGGAATAAAAATATGACATGGAATATTAGATCTTTGCCTTTTATTATATATATATATATATATATATATATATATATATATACACACACACCAATGAAGAGAAAGAACAGATTTAGAATCCACAGTTCTCTGGCAGTTACTGGTAGTGCTCAATACAATGTAGAGCATAATATTTTTTAATGATATTATTATTAAAAATATTTTACATTGCAACACAAAAATTTCTATGTATCAAGACAATGTCTTTATCTTGTCATCAGGCAATTTTTGGTAACTTTGGTAAAAATGATTTACATTTGAAAATAGAAAACAATATGTTTACTTATTAAAGACTTAATATGGAGGTGGGAGGAACAAGATTTTTAGATAATATGGGCGTGTCTCTTAACTAATCAGAAGAAAAATCAATGCTAAATTTGAAAAGTTAAAAATATAGGTTAGATGTTGGGGGATGTGTGGTATTTATACATGTTAATAAATATTAATGGCTCAACACCTTACTTCTGGCAAAATGTATACATTTAAGTTATGAAGAAATATTCTTAAAAAATATGTATATCTTTGACAAGGGGTTAATTTTTGTTTTTTAAAAAAGAATCTTTAACATATATTTTAGAAGTATCTAAAAGGGACCTTTGGTATGATCAAAACATTTTTAGATGTTTTTTTTTAACCAAAATACAATTCATATTTTATTATGTCTCCTTAATACTAAGTAATTTAAAATTAAAAATCAAGAACTTAAAATAATATTACATGTACCATAATATATAATAAAATAATGGATATATAATTGTAACACATAGACTTTTGTGAAAATACATTAACTATATTTTAAGGTGAACATTTTACAATGTCTACATATGACTGTAATCTCATTTTGCTAATTTAATAGATAATTGTTTTTAAACTTAATGTATAGCTTTTCATGTAGATACAAGGGGCATGGGTCATTTAAGGACAAACATATTCTCTCTCTCTTTTTTTTTTTTGGACTTTGGTTAAAAAAAAATATATAAAAATGTTTTGATCACACCCAAAATCCCTTTAAGATAGTTCTAAAATATATATTAAAAATAAAAAAAAAAATAATTAATCCATTGTCAGAGATATACATATTTTTAAGAATATTTTTTTTCATAACTTAAATGTAAACTTTTTGCCAGAAGTAAAGTGTCGAGCCATTAATATGACTTCCCAAGACTTGTATGAATACCACACATCCCCCAACATCTAACCTATATTTTTAACTTTTCAAATTTAGCACTGACTTTACTTCTGATTAGTTAAAAGAGACACACCCATAAAATCTAAAAATCAGGTTCAACTCCCCATATTAACTCTTTAATAAACAAACATAGTTTTCTTTCAAATGTAAATAATTTTCAAAGTTTCAGAACATTGGCTGATGATGAGATAAAAAAATTAAGTCTTGAAACAAAAATTTCTATGTCGCAATTTAAAATATTTTTTAAAATATCATTTATATATATATATATATATATATATATATATATATAATAAAATAATTTTTAGTCAATCATAAATGATTTCAAATAGCAAATATCTTTGGTAAAATAAAATTTGACATAAAAACAAATTGAGCTTCATTTTGCAACAATTTATGTAAGGATGAAATCTTAGTTAATATCTTTACACATTTTGAAACTCAAATTCAGTATCCATAAAATTTGGTAAACAGTAAAGTTAAATTTTTTTTATTAATTATCTAGCAGTAATTTGTGTTTAATGAAGATTTCAAACTGAATGAACACAAATGTGAATATAAATTTGATTAAGCCAACATTCAAAAAAGTGGTGCATATTTACTTCTAACAGGTTGTCTTGTAAGAAGCACATTGTTAACATTCATTTAAAAGTAGACATTAGAATTATGTAACAGGCTTTCATCTTACTATTTGTTTAGTATACAAAAAAAAAAATATAAAAAAATGTTATGGAAATTCTGCCTGAAAAAAATTACCATAAGAGAAATGAATGGACACATAAAAGCCTTTGTTTTGTTTTAAAGCATCTAAAAAGATTAAGATTCTAGATAAGTGCTCCCAATTAAGGAGAGAAAGAAAAAAAGAGTTAAGAAAAAGATGAGCAAAGCTGAAAAAGATTTGTGAATGAAAGTGTAGCGTGATGAAAGAGAAACTGATGTGCAATGTGTCAATTTGTATCTTTGTCTATGCCATGCTTTCTGAAGGCCCAATTTGACTAAGTGCCAACACCAAAATGTCTCTCTTTTCCTTGGGGAAACGCAGCTCCCTCCCAGCAAGTCGTGCACTCTCTAATTCCTGTTCGGCCACCTCGAGTTCGTGAGCAATGGTCCCTGTTGCCTCCTGTTCACGAGTGATCCAATCAAGAGCCATCTGAGAACGCATGTCATCATCCAGCGCACGGTGCGAATAGTGAGCGAGAACTTCCTGGCGGGAACAGTTGCGTTCACGCATAGCTTTCAGGCTGCCGTTCCAGTGCAGCAGCTGAAAAACAGTCATCAGTTCTTGGAATTCGAGCATTGTTCGACCTTTGTTGGCTTCCAACATGAACTTAAATGCTCCAATGCCAGTGTTTGGATTATCAGCATCTTCTTTGTTGCCCTGAAAAAGTCAAACCAAATATAAATAGGAGATTCTGTAAGAAGCCTCTATGGTTAATATAGCATCAAGTGTTCATTTCTTTAAACGATCAGGACTTATTTGGGCTACATACAAGAAATGTTTAATGCTGAACATTGTCTTTGATAAACATCTCTATCATTTCTATTTGTAATGATTGCAGCCTGTAAAAAACAGCGCAATATCAGAATCAGACTGATTGAAACTTAGCACTAAAAGCAAGAGAAAAACAAATAGCATCCAAGGTGTATGCATATTGACTAACATGGAGAAAGATGCAAGGTAAGTGTAATTCATTCAGAAATGTTTAAGCTATCACAACTATATACAACAATTTCCCCAGATTATTGATTAAAAATAAATTCAAAGAAATAAATCCTGTTGGTTTTGAAGAGGACCATCCTTCATCAGATCACAGACTGGCATGTCTGAATCATAAACAAAGAACTGTACCAAATAACAAAAACCATATTACTTGAAGACTTCTCACAGCAGCAACAATTAAAATGTATAGTATATATTAGCCAAAGAGAAAATAATAACATAATCAAGATATTGACTTTCCACACTACCTTAAGGTTAGGAAGGAAACTCCCATCACTATTAGAAAGAGTGATAACAGTGGAGATAAGAAACTTATTTTTCTGAAAAACTGTTTTTAGGGGAAAAGTTTTATAAATTTCAACAGACATTAACGCTGTTTGGTCAGTGAATGTTGAAGATTTCCTTATAAGGAAATGGCTAATCCCACCATTATTTTGCTCTACAACATCAGTTGTTCAATTTAAGATTTTTATTTACACTTGTTAAATAACAAAATTAAGTATAGTCATCATAGCAAATAATTTTCTTAATTGCTTACACTATATCTTTAATAAAACCAACCAAGATGTTAGTTTATTATTGAATAAGATGCATTAAAGTTGAAATGCTCATGTATATCAACAACCCCCACAAATCCCAGAAAACAAAAAAAATAGGATATTTTTTGTCTATGTAACTCTGATGTTAAATTAGAATAACATTCTCTTATAACCATTAGAATTTAGTTTGGTAAAATTTGTACACAAATCTCTTATTTTTGCTATGATTCATCAGGAACATTTTTTTGATGGCTGGATACTTTTTTCTAAAGTTAATTTTAAAACTCCTGGTGGTCAAAATGATAAAACTATAATTGTCATTAAAAGTTGGAGGTTTATTACTAATATTATCTGACCAAATTGTTTTAATTTACTATCTGGCCTAGCCAAACACATACATTTGTTGCTTGTAAGTCTCTTTAAGAGAGACAAAAGCTAATATGTTTTAAGGCCTTCTGTTTCAGAATGTTAGATGCCATCTGTTCGCCTAAACCAGTTAGCTAAAAGTGTACAAGCACCAGGCAGAGGTGAAATGACAAATACTAATGCCTGGACATCAACTACATATTTGAAAGTGCCTCACCTTAACTCAGGATATTCCTTTTTTATATAAGAATGTTATGTTGTTAAACAAAGTAAAAAAAAAAAAAAAAAAAAAAAAAAATACCTTAAATGCAGCCAGGGCATCTCCAACTGCCTTTTCCACAAATTCATCAGAAATTTTTCGTGATGGATGTTCATTAAAAACAGAATTCATCAATGCAATTTTTGCAGCACTTCTTCGTGCTTCTGCTTTTGTTGTGCAATTCTGTGGAAAATTAAAAAAAAAAAAAAAAAAAAAAAAAAAGAAAAAAAAGGAAAAAAAAAAGATTTTCCATAATAAATGGAAATATGAAAATCATGTCAAGAAAGGCCTTGGTGTAAATCTAATGGGAAGATCAATAAATAACTTCCATTTGTTATGTTTACATATTTAAATCTAGCACTATTATAGGAAAGAGGAAGTAGTCGATTTTTGATAGATTTGTTTTTATGGATTATCAACCTTTGTGGGTTATTTAAAGCCAAATTATATTTTGGATTGTAAGAACAATTCTTTCTTTGAAAGCAAATATTACACTAACAATTTTTTGAGAAAACAATATTTTTTCCTTGTTACAAGTCATACTATTTAAACCATAGCTGGGGGAGGGATTCATACCTTTCCCAAGGGTATTTCTGTGTAATGTAATGAACATGACAAGAATTTTTCAATAGGAAAATTCATATTTGTCATAAAACATTTTTAAAACAGTTTTTTTTAATATTGCCTATTGCATATAGGAATAGATTTCTACACCAATGAAGTATAGAATTTCAAGTGAATTTAGATAAGAAATCAATAAGTTATCAAGATTAAAGATCCTGGCCAAAATTGAGCCAATGCCTTTTACAATAATGTATTCAGAGATTTTTGGTTATGATTTTGAGTATCACCTTCTGTAGCATGTTCATAATGTGTAGCACTCTTCATCTGCTGGTTCTTCCATTGAGAGTTGTTATAATCATCATCTGCTTGTTCCACCATTGGGGTCTTCGGGGTTGATCACCCTCGTTTTTGACATTGCCATCAAGAGTGGCCCTACCAGGAGTTTAGAACTCCTGACAGTATTGCTCTCAGAGTCATTGGATTATGCAAGCCCCTCTGCCATGACAAAGAGCAACCATCTGAGGATGACACACAAATTAATGGAGCTTTCCCTATTTCTATTTATTTGATTTTTCAAAATATATGTATATGCACATAGAAACACACACACATATTTTAAATTGGATGTTGGAGTGAACAGTTCATCATTACATGTACCACTTTGACTTATTATTTTAATGACAATAATAGAACCAGAGACTAAATACCATTGCTGCAAAGCAGGAACAGTATGTAGAGGACAAAAAGAAGACAAAGTGTGAATTTCAAAAGAAGACATCAGATAAATTTTATTTGATTTTCAATAGCAAAAATATTAATGTATTTTGGTACTAAATATGTTAACAAGAATTATAGCAAACAGTAAAATGTGTAAAGAATTTTTTTTTTAATTTTATACTTCCAAGATTAACAAATATTAACTAAAAAGAACTTCAAAAATGTATTAACTGCTGGTGGTAAAATTTGTCTCATTCATATTTAATACAAGGAACACAATGAGATCTTAGAATGCTGCTGTGAATCACTGCTCTACAAATACACTTGTAAACCAGGTACCATTTTTGTTGGAAAATAAGGTGTTTAAAAATATTTTAACAGTTATTTATTTATATTTATATTAAATAATGATAAATAAAAATCAAATAGGAAATGTTTACAAATTTAACATGTTTCACTTTTATTTAAGCTTCACCAGAAATGTCCACTATAGTGGAGACACATATGCTAATGTCACAAGATAAAAAAAAACAAAAAACACATACACACAAGATCTATATGACCAATAAAAAAACAAACATTTAGTTCAATATGAAAATAATTTTAAAATACTTAGATGGAAGTTTTTTTGTTTTTTTTAAAACTACAGAAAACACAGTTTGTTTTATTATCAATGTTTACTTTATAAGAGATAAACATAAAATGCTAGTTATAAATTTAAAGTGAAAATGAAAAGATTTTAATTTAAAAACAATTCTTCTTACCTGAAAACTTCCAAAACAGCTCCCGCCTGGGAGTGTAACATAGCACACATAAGGTATTGCATTTGAAGGTTGTGACTCATAGACAACAAGTGCCCCATTTTTTAGATCTGCTCCTTTTTCAAGTTTCATCTGCCAGAATTCTTGTAAAGCTTCAACAACATTGACTACACAAAAAAAGAGAAAAAAGTATTGTGATCTTTCAGTTAATTGTCATTGAAAAACTAGAGCCATGATGCCCACAGTGGGTTGTAGTTACATACATAAAAACATTTGTGTGTATGTATGTACATGCTAAATATATATATGTGTGTATTTAGGCAGCAATCCTTCTTTCATACACATTTCATTGAATACGACAGGCAGTGCTTTTATTTAGTTTTTTATACAATTTCTTATGCGATCTAATAATTTTTTTCTTTTCAGATGATAAATTATATAAAAACTGTCTAAATGTTCTTTTTATCCGAGTGCTTTTGGCTATACATTTAGCTATTTTCAAGGATTAAATATTTTAACTGTTAAATAAGAAATGGTTTGTTGCATGTATGTTTTATAAAATGTTTTCATTTTTCAAAACACGGTCAAGATATTGTGTCCATGTTCATAGTTGATATTATTAAGTGTTGTTTTTTTTTGTTTTTATTAATAAGGCTTCCATTATTTTTAGCCTTTTTTTGCATGTAGATGATGCTATTATATTAGTGTTGTCAACAAGTATGTTACATAGGTCTCCATGAATATTTAAATGAGATCTAATTGAGCTATGGTCAGAAAGGTGTAGAGTGAGCCTGCATGTCAAACATGTTGTAGTATGGCCTATATAATTATTTATGAATTTTGACTGATCAGGAATTCCTTAATGGGCATTTAAATTTGTAAATAACATTTGCTCCTATTTAATTTTGTTCTAAGAGGTGAATTATTATTTTTAACTATAAGGTTAGAGGTTTTAAATTTTTTGTAATAAATAATCTAATTTTTTTGCTATTGTCAACTGGTGTTATGCATTTTTTACAATGTTCTTTATTCTACTTTTGTCTTGTTTATAATTTTTGTTCATTTGATTTTTATAAAAAATATTAATGTTATTGTTTATGTTTCTATTCTCATTGTTGCTATTAGCTACCTTAGACAGAAAACGCTTAATATGGAAATCCAACAATTGATTAGGAAATCCGTTATTAATCAGTGTTTGTTTTACATTGTTTAATTCTTTAGAGAAATGCGTGTGAGAAAATTTTCTCGTGTGCTCTAATGAGGAAAATTTTAATAACACCTATTTTATATCTAAGAGCGCATATAATAGAGAAATTAAGATGGCAAGAGTCTTTACAAGTTGGTTTTTTATAAACAGAAGTTTTAAAAGTATTATTACTAAAATTGACAAGAACATCCAAGAAAGGAAGTTTATTTTTTTTCACTAAGTTCATAAGTAAAATTTAGGACAGAATTTTGTTGAAATGTAGCTTTCAGATTCTCTATTTCTTTCTTGTTTTCAGCTAAAATAAATATATCGTCTACATTAATAATGGATTAAGAAAAAAATTATTAGATCACATGAGAAATTGTACAAAAAACTAAATAAAAGCACGTTGTATTCAATGAAATGTGCATGCATATATATATATATATATATATATATATATATATATATATATAATTATATATAAACCTTACAAATCAAATTTTTTATTTTATAATTTATTTCATGAATGTGTTTATTTTAAATTTTGGAAAATCTAAAAACAAAACCTTTGGTCTGATAATGAAATATTTAAATAAATATATTCATGAAATAAATTATAATTGTTCAAATAAATTATTATTATAATATTGATCTGTTACTTACATTGAGCTCTCTTTGGATTAATGCCCCCACCCCTGAATTATCAAACCAATTAACAATTGATATTATTTTTTTATTATATATATATATATATATATATATATATATATATATATATATATATATATATTGATAATTAGGAAAACCTTAAAAATCCATTGTCGGTAATAAATTTATTTCGATGACTGTAAGCATACTCATCTCATCAGACAAACTACATTTTATGAAAGGGAATCAACATATCCAGACAGACAGATATATATACAAAGAAAAAAAAAAATAAGAAATAAAAAAATAAAAAAAATTTAAAAAATAATAAAAAATACATGATGAAACAATAGGACAAATAAATTAACCTAGAAAAGTTTTCTTAGGGGGCTTACATTAAGAGGAGATAACAAGTTGATACAATGAGTAAGGGAAGATAAAGAGATAGGAAGGTCAAATTTAAAACTGAGTTACAGCAATGTGTCAAATAAAGTTAACAAAAGGAGACATTTAAAGTGGTGTCTGCTTAGACAACATCATTATCATATAATACAATCATCATCACATTATAATAAAAAGAAAAAATAAGGAAAATATTTATATAAAAATAAAAATATAAATAATAAAAAAAAAATCATAATAATCTAATAAGAAATAAAAAAATTATATATATATATATATATATATATATATATATATATATATATATATATATATATATATATATATATATATATATAATTTAAAAATTTAAAATATGGTTCCACTGCTAATAAACAGGAATTACCATGTTTCAAAAAAGAAACTAAATACTTCAATTTCAATTATAGAATTAAATTAAAGTATAAATGTATATATATATATATATAGAATGAACATTGAATTCAATGATCAAGGCGAAAGGATGTTTCATGCTGGACAAATCCCGATTGTGTTTCATGAAACAGCCTGTCACCTCAGAGTATTGACTTCAAAAATCACTTTTATATTTACAAATGCTCTATCTCTGATTTAAACTTTTTCCCCATAAATATAGCACATGAAGTTTAAAACTATATTTCTTCAACACAATATATATATATATATATATATATATATATATATATATATATATATTTTATTAGTATAAACAAGAAATGTTACATAAACATGAAATCATCAACAGATTTGAAGAAGCAAAGAGTTAGAAAGTGTATTAACAAATTTTAGAAATTTAAAAAATATAAAAAAATTAAAATCTGCCAAAACCATGAACGGATTCAAACTATTGACAACAGCATATTCAACAAAATTCTTTAAGGACATGTTTTCCCTTGGGATCAGTCATGTGTTGGTAGCTAGCCTGAGCAGCTTGTCTATAGATAAGGTGTGGCATTGGTGCATAGGTAGCACCAACACCACCTCCCATCTTAATACCAGATCTCTGACTAGCATTGGACCGATTCACATGAGCATTTGTCCTGGGGACAGGCCGGTGTTGTGATGTCATGGCCATTGATAAATATCCAATCTAAAGTAAGTAGTTAAAAGTGAAAAGACTGGAGCGGCAGGAAGACAATTTTGAGATGTTTGATGGCACAGACTGAAATACAAAACAGAAAAAAGACAACTGCAGTTAGTAAAGAAAACAATACAAGAAAATCAACTATTTTTTTCTTTAAAAAAAATCTCTCTCTTAAAACTTAAGTCTTTTTGAGACTGTAAAATCAAAACTCTTTATGAAATAAATTAGAAACAAAAATAATGTTTTGTCTACAGCATTTGTCTATTCAACAAGATGGAAAATGAAAATGTGAAGAGTCAGTTATTCCTATGTAAATTTAATGGAAAAATATTCTGAAAAAATTTCTTGTTTTATTTACCTCTTATTTCTGTTTTTGAAAATGGTGAAAAAAAAATTTCAATTTCAAAACAAAAAAACAGTTTGCAACAAAATAAATATAACTTTTGAAGTCTTATTTATAGCATAAAAAAAAAAAAGTGACTTCTGGCATCTGAAAAAGATTAAAAACATAGATTCATGATTTGATTAATGGCACATTAACTCATTATGGGTCATTTAATGCTGAAATTTTATTTTCTTGGGAGCTTTGAATTAATAAAAATATGATACAGCTTTTGTGCCTATACATGTTTGTGTGGACATAATTACTAGAGGTGGTGTGTGTCTTATGTTGTAGTTTTGTTGAAGATATTTTAGATCAGTTTGATTTCAAGAAATTGTCAGGTATTATATGGATTAATGTTATGAAAGATTTCTTTCATGTTGGTTGGTTGATTTTGTTTAGTGGAATATCAACCTCTGAGTTATTTCATGCCAAGATTTAAATATTTTGAATGCAATTGTATGCCTTAAACTACAGATAAAATGTATTGTTGGTCATTTTGCTATATATATTGTTGGTAATTTTACTCTAAATATGTATTCTTATACTTTCATAGTGTTTTGTTTTTGTTTGGTGGGGGTCAATATTTCCCATAGCTGGGTCCCTAATAGGTGCTACCAACCTGGGTCAGGGTGGAGCTAAGAACAACAGTAATTAAGAGGTGGTTCTATGCTTCTCAAAACCTACAATCTCCTGATAAAAGGCTTTGCTGCCAGATGTAGTTTGTTGTCATACCCAGGACTGCTAACAGATTAAAGCATGGATCAATAGAAAGTTAAAAAGAAAGAACAGTTCAAAAAATATTAATTAAAATCATAAAAGGCGTCAGAATGATTTGAAATTGTTTACATTGCTTGATGTGTACTTTTGGGATAACCTCAAGGGTCAAACATTTATTGGGATGAAATGTGTCACACCAGAACTTGGATGGGGAATTGACTGTGTTGTTGGTTTTCATGCTCTTTGTTTATTTTCCAGAAAACTTGATAGATGTTGACAGGTAGCTGGGTTAGAGGAAGGAAATGAAAATTCAGATTCATGACAATAGAAATTTTGCATTTCAAGAACACATGTGAGGTTGAAAGTGATACTTGATTCTCTATGTAAACCAGCGCTTACAGTCAGCAGGAGCAGAGAAGACCAAGGGTTTTGAGTGTCCACATAGGTGATGGAAACAGCAGAGAAGTCCTACTGTCCACATTGGTGATAGACAAGGAGAATCAAAAAGAAGAGACCAGCCATTTTTCAGAGATTTTTTTAAAATCAGTTCACCCCAAACAAGGCAATAATGCCATTAAGATGCCAGAGGCTACTGAAGTGGAAAAAAAAATAATGAAGGAACTGGAAAATCAATCTTAGACAGGAAACAAGGAATAAACCTCTACTCCTGTTCAAAAGACCTGGGAGGA